ACCAGTATTATTGTTAGTAGAAGAGATGAGGCATAGATAGCGTAATTCAAAAGAGAATAAGTCAGCGGAATACGAAGTATAAGTATCTAAAAACAAAGAATGAATGCACATGAGCTATTGAGACTAATTTTAGGAGTTATATCACATAATATATCAAACCTTCGGTTCTAATTAACATTTCTACAATAGTTACGATTACATGTAATGTGGTGTGACAGTTATGGGTACATAATCCATATCCTATTTGAATAATGACCACTTTTAATAATAATTATAATTTAACTAAATAGTTATTCTTATATATCTTTCTTCTGTGAATTTTTGTAGCTAAACGAAAGAATCAATAAAAAACGTGTTCGATGTCCAACAGATGGTTGTAATTGGATGGGTTCATTAAGTGCATATCAACAACATGAACATCGACGTTATAGTCCATATGAATTAGACTTATTATTAATAGATTGTAAAAAAGATCAAATGAAATCATCATCATCATTACTTCCAATAACAACACAAAATCAAATGGTACATAATAAAGAAATACCTATAAAATTCAATGATATAGCACAGAGAAATGAATTATTACAAATCAATAACAATAATAATAATAATAATAATAATAATAATAATAATAATAATAATAATAATAATAATAATAGCTCACTTCTTCACAATAATCAACGTAATTTGAATCTTGGACAAGTACCTACTGTTTGTGAACCAATCAGTCAATCAACTGGTCAATTATCTGAGACTTCAACTCAAAGATTGTTAACAACAACAACGGCAATACAGAGACAAATACGGCCATTAAGAAATGGGAATAGGCAAAGACAGTGTAGAATTCAAAATCGACCCATTTTAAGTACAAGTGAGAGTGTAAATCAATCGGAAAATAATAATAATAATAACATGGAAGAAACAAGAATAAATAATTCGCATGGATCTACTAATCATATACGTACGCAGGGATTACAGAGTGAACAACATCAACCAAGAATTCTAAATACACCAGTTCATTCTAGAAGAACAAGATCACATGTAGCATCAAATACACATATAACTGGAACAACGAATAATATTGGACATAGACAACGAATTAATGTAAGGGATTCTAGAGTACGTGTTGAGAGATTACCTAATTTAAGAAGACAACAACAGATAAGAGATGAACAAATACAACAATCATTAACCCATACATCCTGTCAAGAATATGACAATGAATTTGATTCGACTGAAATAAATAGCTTACTAAATGTGAATTCCAATGATATTCAGAGTCAATGTTTAGAAGAGGATTTTATGGGAGATCATACCCAGTTAAGTGTAACGGATCAATATTCAAATAATCAAATTAATCTTCCAGCTATCAGATTTAATGAAACACACACTTGTAATTTAAATACACAGCCGTTACTTAATAATAGTAATGATAATAATAATACTCAGACACTTTTACTAAATAATTCAGTACCACGGACAAATCGACCACTTGAGTTTCGACGTCTAGTTCCTCAAAGACAAAGAAGAGTAGTTGAACAATTAAGAGAAACACGTGAACAGTTAGCTGCAATGCTTCGTCTTATGACTATGGAATTAGAAGAAAGACAAAATCGTGTTTTAATTCCAAATCTAGATATTGGTACAAGAACTCGACCGTTAAGAAATCCAAATAATTTATTTTGTGAAAATATGGAAGATAGTATGCCTACACCAAATGTGAATAATACAGTGAATCGTGAGTTAACGGAATATAACAATCAGCATACTTCAAGCAATCCAAGAAATGTTCACAGAACAAATGTATATGATAATGGTATCCAAGAAAATTATTACACATCTCAGTCAATTAATTCAAACAGTCTTAATTCAGTTAACAGTAACAATACTAGAGACTTATCGCGAACACTTCTTACACCGACCTACAGAGAGCAAACTATTACCACTCCTTTCGCTAATTTCAATTCACAACACAATAATAATAATAATAATAATAATAATAATAATAATAATAATAATAATAATAATAATAATCAATACAACACACCTGTAACATCAACAACTAATATAACGCTAACGTCTTCATCCCCATTAATTTCAACAACACGATTATTAGCAAGATTACGTTTGAATGCATTACAGCAGACAACCCCAACTGTTTTCTTTACGTCGAACAATAATAATATTACTGGAAATATAAATTCATCTAATAGACAGGAAATTTTATCACCATCACCACTGACAACCACAATATCATCTTTAGTGATAGGTGATAGCAATAACAATGATAATGAACACGATCACGACGTCAGTGATGATGAAACAGACTAAAACAATCAGTGAATGTTTCATCTGGTAATTAATGAAAGGATGAGAACTATTTTTGAATAAATAATAGCCAGATAGATAATAAGTGTGCATAAATATATATATATATATATATATATATATATATATATATATATATATATATATATATATATATATATATATATATATATATATATATATACAAAAATAAGATTTCATTTTATCTATATAATCAAATAACTGACAAAACACTTTCGAATATAGTACTTTAACGGTGTTTTTACTTTGTTGTATTAGCTACTACTATTATTATTGATAATAATTAGTCAGGTTTGTACTGTAATGTCCCAGATGTTGGACTTGTAATTTACCGAAAAATTGAAATTCTTTACAAAGAGTTTATACTCAAATAAAAAAGGTCTATTATTTCAGACCTTGGATATCAATCAAAGACTATAAACTGACATCATATACACGACATACTCGTTTAATAAATTATGAGTTAATAGCTACCCGGTATGTATGCGACTCTAGATTAATATTAACATGGTAGACCACTAAAGATGACTAATTAATGCCGAGCTGGTTTAGCGTTAGTTCATAAAAAGATAAAGCTTCGAATTTCTTCCCACCTATCACAAGAATCCATGGTGAAATTCTCAGTCAAGAATTATTTCATTTATTTTGAGAAATATTTATGAATGTATGTTGTTTTCGACTTCATTTGGAATAGAAACAAGTCAACAACTTAGCAATTCTTAATTAGAAGATTTAAATATATAGCTAAGAGATATTCATTGGTGCTTATACAATCTGTAGTTAAATCATAATATTCAGGTGGGATATTTGTGGATTATTCGACTCCAAGGGGTGGCAAACAGGGTCTAATCAGGTTGGGCGTTATGTTAACTGAGCTAAATGGTCTAGTTCTGGAGCTTTCATTGTCGTTCTGGACATCACGAGTCAACTTCATGTATACTTCTACATAAGCCTTAGTTGACCATCGGGTGGTTATAGAAATTAGTGAATAATGGACTTGTCTTTTCTTGATATGGTCTTACTAAAAGACTTCCAATAGCTATTCCCTTGGTCCTTACGGCTGCCGACTTTTCCATTTCTCCTACTATAGATCCCTTTTACTATTCACGATTTTAAGGTAATTTTATTAGTCTACGTTTGTGTTGTCGTCGCTCTTCATGGTGTTCAGAGCCTGATGGGATACGCTTCTGAGTATATATCAAATCGCTAGATGCCACCAAAACCCACTAGTCTTTCCTAACATTTGATTAAAGTGATTGGTAGATACTACTTTGCATTTACAGTTGATTGGATATCAATGCAAGATTCTTTATGATAAACTTTCTCTACGGTCGATTATTTGCTTAGGAAATCCTACTTTGAGCACAGTATTGACCTTCTCACTTTCAAATTGATATCTAAGGAGTTTTCCTGCATTTGCTTTCTTAGGTTCAGTACAATGTATAGAAATGCGCGCTCTCACTAGGGCAGTATTTTAGTGAGAATTCCAACAACGGCTGGTAACATTGATATATTTGAGCAGATTGCTGTGTTGACGTTTAAATTTTGCACTTGCTATGACTAATCGGTTGGTTAAACACAGTTGAAACAGACAGTCACCATTATCTATTCATTGAACTCAGAATTCAAAAAACTCACATGTTTTTTGATTTGAAAACTACCTGTAAAATTCATACTTTACTTCATTCAAACCATAATCAGTAATAATGTAGACTAACTCTCAACAACTTTCTAAAACATACAAGATCAAACTATATCGATCCCAAGGGAAGTCCTACTCATTGCCTTCCCATGGAGGGGGTGTTGTTTACGAAATTGAGAGGACGATAGGTGAATGTCCAATGTTTTGACCGGATTGATGAATATGAAGGATATACCTAGGGGATTAGAAAAACCCTGATTCCAAACCAGTGGTGTACATGTGTGCTTAAGAATCCTGAAGGAATAAATGACGTACGAACCCACTGTTGGTCACCGGCTACCATGGGACGGCATCTCTTCATGTTGCTCTTCTGCTTTGTGGTTTAGAACTCTAGGTCAAAGGCTCTGGGGGTGGCCCCCTAAGAAAACCATTTGCTTCGGTTTGGGCACCCGGCCAGTATTACAGCCCATACAAATCGAATGATGAAGTATGGCGTATATGTATTCGGTGCCCCCATGTACCAATATTCGCGTGTTTAAGTAAATAGAAAAAACCAACAGCCGGTTGAAATCTTCAATTATACAATTGTTTCAGTTTACATTTTAACTAGTTATTAACTATATTCAAATAAATGATTCGAAAATTGTGAAACAATATCTCAACCCATCTAACTAAAATGTGTAACCAAAAAAATTACAATGAAAAGAAAACAATTAATTATCTAGGTAGATACACATATATATTTATATTTCACTGTCTATCTGATCCATCGTGACATATGAAACAATACATAAAACCAATTCAATCTGTGATAATCTTTTCATGTAAACAATATGTAAATGTTCAAATTATACAAGTGATAATGGAATTTAATTACTCTGAAAATAAAATGTAATTCTTTATAAAATACAAAAAAAAGAAAAATGCCTTCTTTAATTGTGTTGATGAATGGAAGCAGCAAAAATTATCATCATCATCATCACCACCAACAGTTATCGCTTATTGATTTTTACTGAATAGATAAAGTTGCTGATAGATCATTTATGGCTTTCAATAAACGCCTAGAATAATCAATCAAATCTATCGGTTTAACATCTGCAACAACAACACGTAAACGTTCTTCATCCTGTGTATACACAGAAAGAAATTTAACACAATTTAAGGAAGGTAGAAAATTAATAATATAGGTTGATATATGTGGAAAGAAGAGATGTTAGAAAATCTTCAGAAAGAGATTTGGAAATTCGCTGATAGAATCAATAACTCATGTGTTATTTTTTAACGGTATCTTTCGTCGAGTAAACCACATTTTATAATTTGGGAGTTTTTACTAAGGTATTCAAAGTGTTGACACTACCGTATATTCGTCCACACACAATAATAACGCGACTAACTCTAAATTAGGTTAACCATAGTTGTATTTTAAGAAACGATGATTTAAGGAATCAATCAATTCGGCAATAGGGTATCAATTCAGCAGGAAACCCTGTTTGATCAAGGTTTTGTGTTTATTGAGGCTTGGCAACAAGACGTACATGTAATCTTGAAATTAGATAAGGAACATATTGTAGTATGAAGTTATTGAAATTTGAAATGTGGATCATTAAATTTTGATCTAGCAGAGCTGATGATGGTCAAAACCAACTCAACACGACAACTCAGAGAACATGATAATACAAGTCAAACCAAAACTAATACTATGAGGTGTATGTATGTGTGTGTGGAGATCCTCTTAAATATATTTTTGTTCTGCCTATCCACGTACCGATACAATGATAATAAAGAAAAGTACAAACCGGTGATCAATGGAAATCGACAAACATAAAATAGGAAATAAATATACTTAAACCAATATATTAAAAAAGAGAAATAAGACACATCAAAAACTTCTTACATTATAACGATCAACTTTAGCTCGTAAACGAAATATCCATGAGTTGAATGCTGACTCGATGAACACTTTTTCCAACTGTGTTTCATCCTAATGAAAATAAATAACGAAAGAAAGAACAATTATGATTAAGCTTGAATCAGAAATATTTTTGAAAATTTCCAAAGATATTTGTTGGGTATAGTGTTCTAGATAGATGTACAAAACCAGTTGACGATTTAGTGAATATTCATCAGCTGTGGAGGTTGGGACATGTGTCGTGTATGCCTAAACACTGTCTGTCTATCTGGAAGGGCAATGTTGTCTGGTATAGGCTGAAAGTTAGGGATGGCTAAACGAAAACATGGTATCAGTGATGAATTCAGTGATAGTTGGACTAAGCAGTACGCAAACCACTTGGCTGGGGTCTACGCGGTTATCATAAGCAGTGATTGGTGGCGTTGAACAATATGGCTCAGAATAATCCGCTATTGTGCATATGCATTAACTCTTTGTCTTCTTTAAGATCGAAAATCTCCTAATTATTTTAGACATTTTCGCTTCTTCCTATAACTTAATCCTTTCCACATCTATTGATACCACTACTATCTCTTTTCCTTGGATAAGCACTAAAGGACTACATAAACATAACTATTCAATGAACAATCAATTGCACATAGGGAAGTTAGTTTAATAAACCAAACACCATAAAATAAAGAATAGTTGATAAAACAAGAAGAAGAAATATTTACTTGTGTTGACTTTATAGTGCCCAACTTTTCAGCTGTCTGTCCCAGTAAAACTTCAGCAGCGTCTTGGAAACATGTAACCCATAAATCTCCAGTGACGTCAGCAATTTTGGCCTAAAAACAGATTTAAATATTTAAAAATTGTCAACGTAAGTAAATGAACCGACTAACTTGAATATTCGATACGGTTTGTATTAGAACATACAGTTCAAATGTTCCTTAGAATGGGATAATTAATTTTATAATTTTGAGTTACAGTTTTCTAAACTGACCAACATTTATCCTACACAACCTTTCGAAAATATTTGAAAGTATAGTTTCACAACTGAGTAGTGATCAATCAATATTGCTACAGAAGGGAAGTCGAAATTAAAAATAACTCAGCAATAACACCTAAGACTATAGAACTGGGTGACCTAGGTTAAAATCTACCAGAGCATATTAGATTCCTCAAGATTGTAGGTAAACCTTGTTGATTAGTACCAACTAGCATGAAACCAATGTCAAGCAAAGTCTTCTGCCAAATACTCTCAACCATCTAACAACTGAAATTCATTTTATAAATCATTAAAATGGTACGAGGATCATAGTGGTAATGATAATAACTAACTTGATCAGCAGTAGTTTAAGAGAGAACTCACTCCGCAAGCTTTGTAACTTGTTGATTAGCAACTTTGGTCCTAAGAAAGTCGAAATGCCATTATCAACTGAATATCTAACTTGTTGATAAATTAAGCGACGTCATTCAGTCTTGAGGGTTAAACTGTTTCGATGGGTGTCATCCATCAAGGATACTGTGGGGTCTATCTTATGGACCTCGGTTAACAATCACAAACTACTGATACTCTCGTAGCTTTGGGTTTTATATTTATTAAACAATTTAGTATACTGTGACGTTTAATTCACTGAAATCACGAACCAAATAAAGTTAGACAAATATTGAAAACAAAGGAGCACTAGAAGACCGTCTCGTCTTAACGTAGGACTCTTCAGAAGTGTGCATCCACGACCCTGGAAGCTAGGATCGCGCCAAGGGATCTTCGGCCTCTCGCGCGAACACCTAACTCTAAACCACTGAGCCAGTATTCAGTAGTGTACAGGTTTGAGTTCAGTCAGTTCACAATATTTCGCGACCATTTTCCATTATATTTGGTGGGTACCTTTATCAAACTTAACAAGGGTTTAGCTCCACCGGTTATAGCACTTCATTAGAACTCCGGAAATTTCATAAGATAGTCACGAGGGAATACATGGTTATTATCAGTATGGGGTTGTGGAGATTGGTGGGTTTCATTGAAATCACGAACCGTTCAATGAAGCTCAACAATATGCTAGATACCACTGGCCATCGTTATATATGTAGAAGTGTCTAATAAGTTTTTGTTTTAGTAATTATTTTCCATTTCTTAATTCAGATAAATGGTGGGCTAACATAAAAAATCGTCTCTTTAATGACGATTTAAAAGATCTGTGTTAAAGTGATTATTCAGATCCAAGTAAGATAAGCAATATAAGTGGTTGTTAGTGTACAACTACACTCATAGATCATTTGTAGCTACCTTAACATAAAACAATATGATCATTAAATTAAACTTCCTCAGATTGAAGTTTTTTCTTCAGGGTATGCTATCTCTAATGTTTAATATAAAAAAACCCAAAACATTTTGCATCCCTGAATTCTTTAAATACTGCTAATAAGAGTTTTGATTATTTATGGTAGAAATTGCCATAACTTAGAGTTCTATTTAAAATATATCTTTCAATAAGATTAGTAGCACTTATAACAGTAGCATTTAATATAAAATTACAAATTGTACTTAGAAAAAAAACATCACAATGATAAAGAATATGATTTACAAATACTAAGACTTTTAGAGAATAAAAAGTGGAAGCATGTTATGGGGAGTACCAGTAGGTTAAACATGATAGTTTTTAAGTAGAACAGCATACGTAACACATACCATAAGAAGCAAGCGCCATTTACAATCAGGTGTTTCTCGAGCACATTTTTCACATCGATATAGCCCATTGCCTAAATCAATCACCTTCTTATTACATCCTTCAGTAGAACAAGCTTGATACATGAAATTCTCCTTTTTCATGAATACAACAGTGGCCTATAAGTTGAATATATCAAAATACATAGAGTATGAAGGCAAAAAATAGAAAGACGATCACTTTTCAAAATGGATAGACAATTTATGTTGGAAAATTATGTTAATCACAATAGGACAACAGTTATCAGTACAATGGAAAGATAAGTACGAAAGAAAAATCATTACTATGGTAAATGTTAATTGAGGTTCTTTAGAATGAAGACATCCAGTTGTGCGCAAAACACTGTCCCAGGTCTGATGAAACCTCGCTCCAAACTACACATTGGAGCCTTCAACGTACGCACATTATGTCAATTCGGTCAGCAGGCCACCTTCGCTAAAACCTTAGAATCTCGTACGATTGAAGTATGCTGTGTCTCCGAAACACGCACACAGGATCCTAGTGTGATCATTCACTTGACCTCACCTCGGCAAAACGGAGTGTCGACGAGATACACCCTCCGTATATCTGGCGACCCGATGGCTAGTTCTCGTGGACTTGCAGGTGTAGGCATAGCACTAAGCATGAGGGCGGAACAGGCGCTATTAGAGTGGATCCCCGTTAACAGTCGTCTATGCGCTGTTCGGCTAAACGGCTCCGTAAGAACTCGAAAGGATAGGGACACACGTCGTTGCCTTTTCGTCGTTTCTGCATACGCTCCCACTGACTGCACTTCGGATGAAGTGAAAGATGAATTTTACAGAAAACTCTCTGAACTTCTTCAGAAAGCTAAACGTTCAGACATAGTACTCGTAGCAGGTGACTTTAATGCCCAGGTAGGTAGCTTAAACGAAACAGAAAGACATTTAGGTGGGTATTTTAGTATTCCGGCACAGAGAACAGATAATGGTGATCGTCTGCTGCAAATGTGCTCAGACAATCGTTTATTTTTAACAAACACAAATTTTAAGCATAAGGAGAGACATCGTCTAACATGGCGACCCTCTGCACCAAACCAACGATGGACTCAAATAGACCATATTGCCATCAGTCATAGTTGGAGAGGGTCGATAGAAGATTGTCGCTCATTCTGGAGTACCTGTTTGGACTCCGACCATGCCCTAATACGAGCACACATCTGCTTGCGCCTCACTGGACGCAAAAAAGGCCACACAAAAAAGACTCATTAGAACCGAATTGAGTAATGATAAAACCAAAAGTAGGTTCCAGGAACAACTGAGGTCACACTTGAGTAGTTCTGAAAACGAGGCTGATCCAGATGTCGCTTGGATTTTTTATTTTATTTTAACACATAAGTATAGGTACAGGGAGGCACCAAATACATATGCGCCACACAAATCTCAATTGATTTGTGTGAGGGCTGTGATACTGTCCGGGTGCCCAAACCGAAGCAGGTGGTTTTCTTAGGGGGCCACACCCCGAACCTTTGACCTGAACGTCTGACCCACAAGGCAGTGGAGCATCGTGAGGAGATGCAGTCCCATGGTAGCCGGTGACCAACGATTGGTTCATACGTCATTTGTTCCCGCAGGATACTGGAGCCCATGTGCACCATTGGTTTGGGGTCCGGTTAAATCGCCAGACATTCGCTTTTCGTCCTCTCATTTTTGTAAACAACACCCCCGCCACGAGAAGGCAGTGAGTAGGACTTCCCTGGCAGAGGCTATATACGCATGGCCATGTGAGAGCATTTCGAGAGGGAGAGCGGACTCTCCCCACTCTCGGCCGTACCAGGGCATGTCGCTTGGAAAGATATACAAGCAGCTGTGGAAACAGCAGTGACATCTATTAGTAATTTAAACCACAGGGTTACAAAGAACCAATGGATTTCTTCAAGGTCTATTGCACTGATGGGCTCTCATAAACTCATCCCATCAGGTTCTGAACACGATGAAGAGCGTGAACAAATCAGTTCTAGGTTAAGCAAAAGTCTAAGGAACAACCGTGAGCAGTGGTGGGCAATGAAAGCAAAAGAGATGGACAAGGCGGCGGCGGCTATAGGGAACACAAGACAACTCTACAGACTAATAAAAGAAACTGGAATTAATAAATCAAGTGTAAGTCAGACTATTTCGGAAAAAGACGACACTCATCTGCTCCCAGTCCAGACGTTTAGAACGATGGGCGGAACATTTTAGAGAACAGTTCAGCTGGCCTTCAGCTACTCTACAACTACCCTCCATTCCCAGACAGTATGAATGGAACATTGAGGTAGGTCCCCCATCTCTAGCTGAAGTTCAAAAGGCTATAGTTAATCTAGGACGAGGAATGGTAGCTGGTCCAGATGTATTGGCCCCAGAGGATTTTAAGGATGGTGGTCCAATTCTAGCGACTAGGTTGACTAATATTTTAGCTAAAATCTGGGAGTTGGACATAATCCCATCTAACTGGTCACAATCACTTATCGTCCCAATATATAAGAAAGGGTCAAAATCCTGTGACAACCATAGAGGGATTAGTTTAACTAATATAATATCTAAAATACTAGCCTTGATAATTATCGGACGCCTAACTAAAACTCGTGAACTGCAAACACGAGAGAATCAAGCTGACTTCAGACCTGGTCGTGGCTGCATCGACCACATATTCACCGATCGTCAGGTTCTAGAACACAGGAATACTTATCTGCGTCCGACAATGGTGGTTTTTCTTGACTAAAAAGCAGCGTTTGACTCTGTTGACCGAGAGGTTCTGTGGCAGTGTCTGTCATTGAAAGGCGTACCTCAGAAGTACATAAACCTTGTGAAGGCTCTTTACTCGAACACTACTAGTCGAGTCAGAGCATATGGCGAACTGTCATCTGCTTTCGCAACCTCAAGTGGCGTCCGCCAAGGCTGTCCACTTTCTCCATTTTTGTTCAACTTCATCATAGATCTACTGATGGAAATAACGCTCTCATCGACTGAATTCTCGGGTATTGATCTCCTACCAGGAGGTCCACTTATCGACTTAGAATACGCAGATGATATAGTCCCGTTTGGTGAAGACACTGATAAAATGCAGAGTCTTTTGATAGCACTGAGCAACAATGCTAGAATGTTTGGGATGCGCTTCTCTCCCTCCAAATGCAAGTTGTTGCTTCAGGACTGGTCTGCGTCAACACCTGAACTAAGGATAGGGAGTGAAGTAGTCGAACACGTTGACAACTTCACTTATCTTGGAAGTCTGATCAGCCCTAATGAGTTGGTGTCTGACGAAATCTCAGCACGGATTCGAAAAGCTCGCTTGGCCTTTGCCAACTTACGTCATCTATGGCGAAGGCGAGATATCCGTCTATCAATTGAGGGACGAGTATACTGCGCGGCAGTTCGTTCCGTTCTACTATACGGCTGCGAAACATGGCCTTTAAGAGTAGAAGATACTCGTAAGCTACTAGTATTCGATCACAGATGTCTCAGAAATATTGCTCGCATCTACTGGGATCACCGGGTAAGTAATAGTGAGGTTAGACGTAGGATATTAGATGATGGTAAATCAGTTGATGAGGTTATGAATCTTCATCGACTGAGATGGTTGGGCTACGTGCTGCGTATGCCTGAACACCGATTACCACGGCGCGCAATGCTAACCGGTGTTAGGGATGATTGGAAGAAAGTTAGGGGCGGCCAAACCAAAACGTGGCATCAGTGCTTGAAGTCTCTAACTTCTGGTTTGAGCCATGTTGGTAGATGCAGACTACCTGGTTGGGGTCCGCGTGACTATCGTAACCAATGGTTGGAGACTCTTGGTGACATGGCTCACAATCGATTACAATGGCGTCGGTGTGTACACTCTCTGTCTTCCTTTAAACTAAGAGATTAAAATCGCTTCATATCTTTCTTTCTAGGAACTAATTCTTTCTTCCTGTACTATCTCCTTATATGCAATCTTTCTTCTATATATTACCACCACTGAATTAACTACTTTTATGAATCCGGTGTTCATATTGTTAAGCTAATGCGGTATGGCAACTTGGACCGATGCATATACGTGCCTGGTCCTACGTTGCAGCTGACTGACTGAAATGAATAATTACAAATCAAACAAAACATATCATACTTTGATTAGGATGGTGGCATTCAGTCATCTACAACGTAGGAGCAGACACATATATGCATCGCTTCAAGTTTTCGTACTTTATTAGTACAAGACAAACACCAAATTCATAGAAGTAGTAACTACAATGGTTATTTATTTATCTGAACACATAAATATTGGTACAAAGGCGCATCGAATACATATACTCCACACTTCATTCGATTTGTGAGGGCTGTAATAGTGCCCGGGTGCCCAAACCGAAGCAAGTGGTTTTTTAATGAGGCCAATCCCCGAGTCTTTGATCTAGAGTTTTAAACCACAAGGCAGAAGAGCAACGTAAGAAGATGCCGTCCCATGGTAGCCGGTGACCAACGATTGGTTCACACGCCATTTGTTCCCTCAAGATCATGGAGCCCATGTGCACAATTGGTTTGGAATTATTTATTTATTTATATTATTTTAACACATAAATATCGGTACAAGAAGGCACCAAATACATATGCGCCACACAAATCTCAATTGATTTGTGTGAGGGCTGTGATACTGTCCGGGTGCCCAAACCGAAGCAGGTGGTTTTCTTAGGGGGCCACATCCCGAGCCTTCGACCTGAACGTCTAACCCACAAGGCAGTGGAGCATCGTGAGGAGATGCAGTCCCATGATAGCCGGTGACCAACGATTGGTTCATACGCCATTTGATCCTTTAGAATACTGGAGCCCATGTGCACCATTGATTTTGGATCCGGTTAAAGCGCCGGAAATTCGCTTTTCGTCCTCTCATTTTCGTAAACAACACCCCCGCCACGAGAAGGCAGTGAGTAGGACTTCCCTGGCAGAGGCTATATACGCGTGGAATTAGGGTTTTCACACGCCTAGGTGAATCCTGCATATCCACTAACCCAATTAAAACGCCAAACATTTGCTCTTTGTCCTCTTAATTTCGTAAACATCCTTGCCGCGAGGCAGTGAGTAGGACTTCCCTTGCAGTGGCTGTATACGCGTCGCCATATGAGAGCATTTCGAGTGGAAGAGCAGACTCTCCCCAACTTCAGCCGTACAGGGGCATTTGGGGTAGCAACGGTAGTAATATAAAAGATTGCATATAAAAATGTGATACAGGGGTATGACGTTATTTTAATCTCACAATTTAAGGGAAAACAAATAGTATATACACCTAAGCCATTATGATTGACTCTAAGCCGTCACCTAGAGTTTCCAACCATTGGTTAAGAGTCACGCGGACACCAACCAAGTAGTTTGCATCTATCCACATGGATAAGACCAGAAGTCTGTGACTTAATGAATCGATGCCACGTTTTGGTTTGGCCTCCTCTAACTGACTACCATCCGTCTCCAACACTAGTCAGCATTGCGTACCATGGTAGTCGGTGGTTTGACATGCGTAATAAGTGACCCAACCATCTCAGTCGATGAAAATTTACAATCCTGTCAACTGATTTACCATTATTCCCTAATAACCTGCGTTTAGGTGGTATCATTAGTACGGATATACAATTCAATTCACCTTGTAATAATACGGAGAGTGAAGCACCAAATAAATACAACTAAAATGGAATATGTTCGTCAGAAAGATGGATTTTCCGGCTAATAAAGAACACAATAAAAAATTGCGATAACATAGTCTACTGGTTTCTGCATTCTGAATCATGTCTGATAACGTCTCAAGCTATATAGTAGCACAACCTCTAGAATCCAATACAATCATTCGAGATGAATAAACATGTGTTAAATTCTTACTTGCCTAGCATGATGTTAGAAATATTTTAGATGTTCACAAAATGGGTGTTCTAGGAAAAGTGAAGGTAAACATATTAATGAGGAGTCCCAACAAGTTAGAAGCTAAGACTAAAAGTCTACAATGATATGTTTACAAGATATTTAGTAAGATTTTATTTACAAAACATAAACCGACCAAGATGAAGAATTCACACCTTTTTAACTGAAATGACTGAAGCACATCTCAATAATACGTTGTGTTGCATAACCGGTGAGAGATTACAACATTCACATTCCTAAGAATTACTAGAATACACTAGATCAAGTGTATGAATTTATCCATATATAATGACTTATATCAGTAACTATTTAATTTTAAGCTTTTCTGTGCGATAATGTAATATGTCATTTATAAACCGTAATGTGAGTAAACATAAGCTTTAACAAAAAAAAAGTCCACTTACTTTACAAGTGAAATAATCTGCTTTTACATTAGCTCCCACACCAGATGCTTTGACATCTTGCAAAAGATTCCAACCTCCAAGAACACCAGACGAACTAGATACACCATCTGCTCCTCCTGAAGATCCAACCATTTCACTACGGAAGGTTTCAAAGTTAGAGTAGCGACCTTCATGTTCATACCAACCTTTTAGTCGTATAGCTTCAGGAATATTTGTAGGACTAATAAGAAGGGATGATGTTGGGCTTACAGATAGAGAGCGACCTGAAAATAAGTTATATTAAGAATGTCACATTAGGTTATTTAAAACGTTGACTATTAGTCAGTATCAATAGAACTTTTAATCCACTGTGTTACGGTTCTGTAAGACAGACTGTAATGAACTACTTATCGTTAGATGGTTGGGGGTAAGTGGCAAGAAACGCTACTTGACCTATGTTTTATGCTAGTTGGCATTCATTAGTAAAGCGACCTCCAAAACACTGACAGTCTCTAGTGGGTTTGAACCCGGATCATCAAGTTTTATAGTTTGAGGCGTTACCATTGTCAACTGCTTGCAACCATCCAACAATTATTTGACTTATTTATTATTATTTATTTGAACACATAAATATTGGTACAAGAGGGCACCAAACATATATGCGCCACACAAAACAATGAGAATTTGAAGAGAAGAAAAAACAAAGAGTGTAAAAAACGACGAACAGATTAGTGTTAGGTAGTGTAATAATAATAATAATAATAATAATAATAATAATAATAATAATAATAATAATAATAATAATGGCGGAAACGGAAAAGTACAATCAAAAGAAATCTTTCAGTTAAGGAAGAAGCAACCACTTTTTGTGAAGTAAAAGAAGGTTGCAGCAGGATCGCTATGTAGTGAATACTTCTACGTTGACCTTTATAATATAATAGAAATTTTGGACGGCATTCTCGATTCTGAAACACATAAGGACGAGTCACTAAGAGCAATTAGGAATATTCTTGAACTTTAGCTCATAGTGAAAAAAGCTTAGCATTTTATTTAGTGACAACAATCCAGTAAGATCAAATAGTGCATGACAGTACTGAAAGATAATTTATTAGCATTTTTGCATAACATTATAATTAATAAGGAATACTGCGTAAAAGGAATACATGTAGTATTAAGTACAATTCCCTCAAACTATAAAGTGATCAAATCACAGATTTAAAAAATGTTTCATGACTAACATACCATTAAAATCAGATATTTTTGCTGCTTTTATAACTATGACAGGATGATTTGCACCATCGAAATTCTCCGCTTCTTCACCCCATAGTGTAAGGCGTACTAAACAGTTAGAACTATCCACTAATCCTAATTCACGTTTACGTAGTTCACGTTGAGATGCTTTGGCAGTAATTGTTTGTGCTTCACCGCATTCATGTACAACTCCAACAATATCTAGGTGTTAAATTAAGTGCAAAACAATTTATGGTATTTTTTAATACGAATAGAGAAAGGTTATAAATACATTAATAGATTAAAAGCTTTTCATATACACACTAACAAGTACAACAGTACTTATTCGTGTTTCTAATACGTTTTTCCGAATTTGACAATTATAAAATAAAAAATCACCCCTCACCAACAAAAGATCCAGGAGATTGCGTATCTAACTTTCCTATTGAAATAAAATTGAAGTGAGTTTCTGGTAAAGAACTGGTATCTGAATCCTCACAAGGCAACACTTGACTATCGCTATGAAGTGTCATTTCGTAATCGTTATTAGTTGTATTGAATTGTTTATTAGCGGCTTTCAAATTTGCTCGACTGACATAGTACACTTTATTGACCTATAGAAAAGGTGATATAGGAACACAGAACAAATAAAAATTAATCTAAAAATACTTAACGAATAGATTTAGTGTCAACCTAGAGCAGTGGATCAATGGTCATGAATTCGACTTTCAGATAACAAGTTAGAGGTCCAAACTTCACTTCATCAGTTTGAGACTATGGATAGAGTCGCTATCCCTCAAATCTAAGATCTGGTTCAAAGTCAACTAACTACAGGAATCCGTACCTGGAAAATGGTCTAAATAAACACTACTATCAACAAACTGAATGAGTTCTATTTTTACACAAGACGTGAATGTGTTACATTACTATATAAGAATTATCGGATAACTTTAACTCAGCACATTTGACTAGAAAGACGATAATAACAACAATCAACGTCCGTTAGCTTTCTATTAGATGTTTTCAGTGAAACCAGGACGATTTACAAGCCGGTCAAACAGGAGTATATGATCTTAACAAAAAAGGTACTTAAACCTATATGTGGATGACCAAATGTACATTCGATCTTCCAATTATGGCAGTCATTCAAACACAGTATAAATTTCGTGCAGAAAAAAGAACCAACCTCAATGACATAATCCCTATAATCATACGATTCACAATTATTCAATTCCTAACTAAAAGATGAGGAAAACGAAATCACGAGAACTGAGTGTTTTAGAAATAGAGGTGTATTATTCAGATTTTTTTAATACTAACATATTAAACTATGCATATGTTACCACTTAGTCATAGCACTTGAACCCGCCGATCAAAAAGCCTTGTACGCAGATTTCCTGTCAGGAATCTTCGAAAATGTATACCTCAACATGGAAATTTTTTGCTTACACTATAAAGGAACTAATTAGTAGTTGGTATTCGAGCTCAGAACAAATAATGACGTCTATTACTAACAGTTTCATACAATTTTTTTAGAGTTGGTAAGTATAAAAACCACTCCTTCGCATTTCTCGGAGACTGATTTTTTAATCTGAGGTCTATTAAATGATTTGATATGTGGATACCATACAGTATAATTAAGTGATAACGCTTATAAAATGTAATCTTCTGAATTCCTTTAACAGAAAGTAGGAAATGGTGTGTTGCAGACCTGTAGAGAGATCAACTAAACTTAACTGTAAAGTATTCGAATATTTGTGGTCAATGTTTGCAGCCATCCCAAAATATGTGTTGATGATTAATGATATGTATTTATTGAGACACTACTAGTACTACAAATAATGCAGCCTATTAAAAATTCTCCTTGTCAATACTGTCGTCTTATCATATAGCTGTCTGTTTTAAATAAACGTTAGGAATGAATCGATGAATGAATTGATTCAGATGTTTACCCAAATGACAAATGTTACTTACCTCAATCATGTCATAAAATTTATCCACTTCAGCATTGAATCCAGTTACACGGATTTCACCACTTTCATCAACTAGTGTAAAGTTGAATAGCTTTCCATCACGACCTTGTTTGCTCCAAGTTCGGATAGCTGATTTCTGTGATACACGAGCACGTATACTCCATCTATTCTGATACGGATTGAGGCTTTGTATGGGAAATACACGTGGGAGCCCACAACCTGGTGTTCCAGGAGTACTTGGTTGACCACCAGAGAAAGGACCAGTAGAAGATTTGGGTGGAGTTTTCTGTTCAGGTTCAATTGAATGAGATGTGGTCGTGGCTGGTTTGGCTACCGTGGGTGGCTGTTCGGATTTCAAACCACCTTATTAAACAGAAAAAGTACTAAATATTAAATCACATCACTAAAATTAAAGAAACTTGAAATAGTTGGTTACACTTCCAGTTAACAATATTTATTGCTGAAAGCATATCGGATATATGACAATTTCGACCAATAAACCTCCATATGCCACAATGTAATCATATTTTACAGTATTTGGGAGTTTTCATCTAATAGTAAAGAAATTTTCAATATCCGTTTGTGTGGATCAGGAGGTTATTGACTACATCACTTAGTAATATCTGCTTGAATTTGGACAAACGCACCATTACTAGTCCTCAAACAAGCAGTAGAGCTTGGAACCGCGTAAGAATATACATTCGATGTGCTACATTAGCAATATAGCTGTCATAACATTCAATTACTTTCCACAAAGTCAAGCACATATTGTGACATCGAATTACGCTGAACATCCTCAGAAACTAATCGCATAAGCAGTCAATTTATGATAACTATGACACTTTCTGTGGCTTGCAATAAAATTTACTGGTTTAATCATGAGAAAAAGGACTTAAGCAAACTGAACTACAGTGGTGAATTTGGTAATAAAGTAAGAAGAGCAACTAATTGAGAAATTTTAGTTGCACTAGTATAATGGATATGAAAGTATTGATCGAACAGTTCATCACTTGTAATTAGTGCACCCAACACCGTGATTTTAGCTTCTTAGATTAAAACGTGCACCTGCTGAGTGTAAAGCCTAAGATTATTAGTTTTTGGGCATTGTTGACAATCCAGGACTACACATGGTATACAATATAGAATAATTATAGTGAGATCGACAGTTATTATAGATTCTTAGCAGACGGATGAAAGTAAAAACCATTTAAAATTACATGCAAGTCTTTTGAGCTTTATGTGAAAAAACTGAAACCAAAACATAAAGGTACAAAAAAGATGGGTAAAGATGATATTTAAAAAAGCTGGAACATGAGGAAGTAAAGATGTGTAATAAAATGATTTCGGGAATTATTTGGGGCTGAATGTATCAAAGAGACCAATTTTTCCCCATAGCCTAGCTATTTCAATTAACATACTCTATTAGCATAATCATTCAGGAACTTTAAGTTCTTTCATATTAACGATTTGTGATAACATAAACTATACATTAATGACTGATTATGCTATAACAGACTGGCTTGATTATCACGCTTATTTTAGCTTATATTTCCTCCAACCACCATGTGCTTTGTAGCGTGATGATTCTTTATATGCAGGTTGATGAAGGTTCACAACATAATTATCTGCTCTTACTATTTGGAACCCTATACTTAAATCAAACGACGCTAACTTAGCAATAACACAGACAAATAACGCATCCTTGGACTGTAAGTCTGTAAAGACATTTGTGTACGGGAGTAGAACAAACTCGAAACGTCTTTCTTGACTATCCATACACTCGACCACTATAACCCAGGCAGGATAAGAACATCAACCATCATTTGGTAACTTGTACATCGTTTCCAAATTTCTGAAGACCTTTTGGGAGACATACATCGTTCCAAGGCTTTGTCAACAAGGATCATAGTGGGAAAACTGACCCCACCATTAACATGTAAACTAGGTTATTCCACATATATGTGACCAATTTGGATAATTACTATAGTCAGTCATGGACAACACATCGTCTGGCACAAATGTGCACTGGACCAAGATCTCACACTACAGTGGCAATATATCACGAAAGGCGCATATAAAGTTATTACTGTATGTGCAAAAATAGAAAACTATTTGAAGTAAGGACAATTATAAACTAGCGGGAAAAAATCTTTGACAATTATGGAATAATACTAAAACTCGAAATCTGAAACAAAACGAATACACTTAACCCATAAGAAATGAATTCCCGCTTGACCAGACACGGCCTCGCGATTATTGTGAGGATCGAATTAGGGAATCGATAACGGTCATTACAGCTCAGACTGGGACTTAAAGCATTAATGTCACCTTTGATTTAGACAATCATTGAGGATGCACCTAATGGAGCCAGAGGTGGCTTGAGAACCACCAGACTTCCGGAATCAAGAACCACTTAGAAATGTAAACCATATGTATAATTGTGATATCACAATAACAGTAACAGAAAATAAAGAAATTGTGAACATAAGCGTACGCATTGAAGTAAAATGCCAACTAACCTGACGAATCATCCGTTCCAAGTATATCAAGGTCCAAAACGATAAGAACAACTCTAGAAATCAGTTATTTTGACACACCGAATATACTTATTATTTTGGATGTTATTACAAACATGTTTCCTAACGCGGATTACAGTATTGTTGACCAGTTTGTTTTCATCAATCAAATGGTTTAACTGTGTAGCGAGCATGGCGACTATAGGCAGTGGTTAGAAATTCAAAACCTACATGAATGAGTTTTTACGCCGTCGGTGAGCAGTAACCGATAACGATTCTGACCACCGCCACCACCTGGGACACTTTTAAACCCCTGACAAGTTATGATAGAAATTATAATCTACCAATAGTTTGAGAACTGGCTCCTCAACATTTTTGCCGTTATTTATTGCCTATGCAAATACTAGAAACAAAGTGTGTCCTTACATCGATCGCGCCCACAGTCAAGTTAAACATTCTGTACCTTTGAATTAAAAACGTCCCAGCAAATAGCACCAAACAAAACAACTGAAGGTCATCAAACTGAATGAATCCTGACTATGATAAAAGTGATTCCTTCGTGGTAGTGAGAGACGTGAAATAACATTATTCAGTCTGTTTAACTTGATTAGCTCTTCAGTGAAGCGATATTCAATAATCATTATAAACAAAGAGGGAGGGTAGCTGGCACGAAAATTCGGGACGCACATTTCGTCCCATTTGGGACTTGACAGCTAGATGTACCTGCATCTCAGAGTTCATGTTCACACCACGACTAGAACACAGTACCGTCAACCTCAAACGTCATTGCATTATTCACTTAACGACTGATTCCTGATAACCACTAGCTTGTGTGATGGGTTGAAGTTTAAGTTCATTTTGTATCTGTTTGAATCTTCCTATTGACGTCAATGACTGCAATTAATCAGTATCTTATTGGCATATATGCATCCTATACAAATTACCTCAATATTGTCTTAAGTCACAAGCATTGATGTTCAACAATCTACATATTAATTTACCATCACCATTTATCCTTGACATATTTTATTTGGAACAGTTTGATTGATTCATAAGACACTGTCGTGCAAATATATGTCTAAAGAGATAACCAAGATTAATAAAAAAGACGAAATATGATCAAACTGTAGACATTAGTTCTATGAATTAATTAACCCACTGCCGGAGACTATTTTTAGCACTAATGGGTCGCGGCAAACAATTGGTTACCTAGTAATTAGCAAAATTAATGTTTGTCTGCCATGACAGAGTGATATGGCGATGTTACATCGCAACCAATAAATTTGTGTAGAACGGTATTCAGCCACGTAAATAACAATCGATTTATAACGCCATTAACAATGTCCGTTTACATAATAATCATATATTGTATGTAAGTCACTAGTCCGCGACTGAAAAGACAGCATCCTGCTGTAAAACGTTCAAAACGCTACAGACGAACTGGTCCTAAGGTTACTTTATAATCTATTTGAAGAGCGATTAGCGAGATAAAGTCTGTGCTTATATATCGGACTGGATGTGACTTGACCATTTTGAACTACATAGTAAGAATTAAACATATGACATTCCCTCTTTCTTTCCTAAAGTAATCACTAACGGAGAAGGATATACAAACCACTTCTCTAGCCACGGACCAATCGCTTTTTTACTACTGAGCTTCTCCTTGAATTATCATCTAACGAGATGGTTTCATATCATAAGATTGCAGTTTCTCCATGATGAGCATTTGAAGGAAGGCTAGACTAATCCTTAGAACAAATACAAATGGTTTAGATTTCTGCTCTAATCAAACCTTAAACGGAATCGGGACGTCACCATACATTTTAATATCGATTATAATTTGTCTGACGATTAAAATTATCAGTAGAATAATAGAATTTTATTGTACATTCCTTAAAATTGCCTTAATGTTCACTTTATCATATTTATAATATTTATTCGCGATAACTTGACCTTCAACTGTTCGATTTAGAATTAGATTTGGGAGACAGATATGTTCACTTTACGAATAGGAAGTTTGGCCATAAAGTGATTTGCACTTCTCGAAGACTTTCTATGTCCCTATGTAACGAAAGTACTGTTTTTAGCCAAAGGATCCTTCCTGAGCTTAACGTTTGGTAGATTACTTTTATTTTTGCGTTTTACACAAGCTAATAGATGAGGGTGGTTTTGCCTCAGCTTATTATTCACGATCTACAGTTTTCCACAACAAAGCTAGTTCTAATATACCATAAAGTTTCGTATCACCCATTTTTTGTCTATCCCTTTTCAGCGTATTTTGTTTGTTTTATTGTCGTAAATTTGCTCGGATCAACCTAACACCTAACATATCACCATGGTCACGAAGAATCCATGAAAACGACTCAGATGCTACTTCGCTGTCACCTGTGGTGTGCAGTGTGACAAATGCAGAGGTTGGTTTCACGATATATCCATAGATCTTACAGTAGATTGTCAGTTTTCAGGTGGTTACGAGGCACATAAAGCGTGAATACTAAGGATCTACCAAGCAACTTCATTCTCTTGACAGGCCAAAGAAAAAATTGCCAGCAAACCTGAGTAAAGACAGTCCTGAAATGGATAAACACAAAGACTCACAGTGGAGTATAAAAGAGGATCTTCGACAACATTGGTTTTGGTGGAACACATATCGACACTAATGAAGATATACTGAAACTCAGCATCATCATATCATTGTCTTAGACTCTCTCACCAAACTTGGGTCTCCCAGCACAGGCTCCAAATGTGATCCTCAAAAATTCTGCAAGCGACTGAACTCCTTCACCAGTTAGGAAGGATAGGGTTTCACCGTCAGAAAAGCTGAACAGCCCAGATTTTATAGTGAAATCAGCTAATCAGTTGGCGAAGCCATCTATTCTCAAGATTGCCCAACCAGTCAGTAAGAGTCACAGGAATAAAAAAAACTGGGAAAACAACCACAACTTGCTGTCGTTCTCTCATAATCATGGGCATAAATATAACTCTGACCTTCCTCTTAGTCTGCAAGACAAAAAAGACAGGATGTTCTGGGAGGAGTTGTACAGGAAGCTCAAACTCCCCAAATTCGAGTCAACGATGGTTACGTGACTCACTGGGGGGAAGGACCCCAAATACCAGAATCACCCCAGACTCCTTCATTTGACGTTCACCAGCACTAACGATGTAGAGGATATTCTACTGGCTATTTATTTGATGAAATTAAAAGGGAATGTGAGAATACTTCCTGAAATACCATATTCCGAGCAAGATCTCATTAGGAACAGCCCGAAGGAATCTCTTGAGACGTTCTTTCTAGGTATGAATATCAGTGTGCAAAGTGTCCCGGAGAACATAGACCCTGACCGCGCAAAATCTGATGCTCTGGATTGGAAATTCATAAAGCAGTCCTCAAGGCCAATAGAATTTCTCTCAATACCCTAAAAAATTATGGGGTCTGTGAAATGCGACAGTCTATGTGACTACTTACTATCAATAAACGTTTCTTTATCCCAGCAACACAGTTCCAGCAAATGTCACTTGCATAACCAATTTACTGACCGCGGGGCACTGATGGACAACCATCCTTGATCGCAAGGGAAAGGTTGATATTACATGCCTCGACTTCACAAAAGCTTTTGATAGGGTCAGCTATATATGTCTTATCAATAAGCTCAAACGATTATGCACCAAATCACCTTTAATTTTATGTCTTACTTCACATCTAAGTAACCGACCTTTTAAAGTCAGAGCTAACTCCATGTTCTCTAAGGCTACGGAATGTCCTACTGGGGTCGCCCAGGGTTAAGTATTAGGGTCTTCCACTGCAGATATCGTCAGACTTTGCACTTCGCTGATGACATGAAACTGGAGAGAAGTTTGCAACCAAAAGGGTAAGTGACACTTCAGGAGGAACTGACCGACCTCAAAGTTGGACAGACAACAAAGAACTTACGTTTAGCACTTCAAAGTGTAAAGTAGCCCATCTGAGACATGTTGCAGACTACGAATACAACTTAGGTAACTCCCCTCTAGAGGTGTCTCAGTTTGAAAAAGATCTAGGAGCGTTGGTACCCTACGATCCGAAGTCATACACTAACCTCGACAAAAATGCCTTCCGAGCAAACCTTGAACTGGTAACGTTGAAGTGCGTTTTCGGCTTGTCGGAAGGAGGAACCTTTTACATAATCTTCAATAGTTTTATTCGATCTAATTTAGTGTGTGGAAAACAGCCTTTCCTCCCTCACTCCAAAAGGACAACGATAAACTAGATCGTATCTAACGGCGAGCCATGAAATCAGTTCTGGGGCTCAAATTCGAGTCTTATGAAGAAATCCTCCAATTACTGAACCTTTACTCATTAGAATACAAGCGTCTTATGGGTGACCTAATGACTTACAGCATTCCATATACTCCTAGGCATCCCCTAAACGCCAACTTAAGCTTAGTCCCAAAACTTGGGGTTAACGCACAGAAACTGGAGACACAACATGGTAGAACGAACCTTAGGCATATCTTCTACTCCTTAAGAGTAGTCAAATACTGGGATTCTCTGCCGACTAGCTAGTCCAAGCAACTTCCCAGTAGTCCTTCAAGAGAAACCTTGACATATTCTTAAGGACTACCTACTTTCTCACCTGGAAGCACCAGTGATCCAACTCTATTAGATACGGAAGTTTGTTAAGCGAAAGCTTCTTCGATTCCGTCCAGAACCAATTGAACCATTCGGACGATTGACGGTGTGTAAAAAATCAATTCTTGCGCTATTTTAGCAGCTGATGTCACATTTTAGGGTTTTAGTACGTATTCTATTTTCCTAAGTCATAAACTTTAGCAATGGAGGGCATTTGCTAGAGAATGGCTCATTTATGACGCTTTCATGCAGTGCCCTATGCTCTCGGCCGAAAGAATCGCGAAGTATTTGAGGGGAAAGAATATCCGGTACTATGACCCTAGTGGTACGTTAATATTGTGTCTTTATTTCTAGCCGACTTTGGGAGTCATGTTGTTGTGATCAATTCTAGACATATTGCTGCAAAAGATAATAGTCGATATTGGAAACGGTTCTTATACACTACACATACAAGGTTTGAACTTTTTGATGTCAAGTTTTTACTATAGGTTCCCTGTGAATCGTGTTGAAGAAACAATGGAGGAAGTTCACCGGCGTGATCCTACTGAGGTAGGTAGATAATTGTGAACTTACAAGTAGTTTTGATTCAAGCATACTAAATGACAGTGCACTGTCATTTAGTATGCCTGAATCAAAACTAAACATGTTTAGTCTATCAGTGGTTTTGTAAAGGTTATGAATTCTATTACCTATCGCCCTTACTGAGTTTAAACAGTATGCTTATTTGTCAATGACAATAGTAGGTGCATCAGTTAACTGACTCGAGATATTTCACTTCTCAGTTGGGTTTGTAACTTACAGTGGCTTTCGGCTCTTTTTAATATATATATATATATATATATATATA